TCGCCTCGAACTTGTGGTGACCTTGTCAAGTTCGGACATGTTGGAAAACACAACCAACCAAGGCCACGAAAGGGGGGAAAGTCGAGGTATTTTCGAGGCCTTGGTTGGTTGTATTTTTCCCAAGGTGTCCGACCTTGACAAGGTCTCCACAAGGGGGCGTGAGCATCCGACATTTTGGGGAAGGGGGATCGACCTCTACCCACCTGTCTGTCAGTCTGTGTTGATCGGAATAACATTGCATATACATGAGAAATTCAGACAACAACGTATAGTCTAGGTACGCGTACATATACGCAGTGCCTTGATCGCCCACATTACTTCAAGACGAATTTATTGGGCTGGACCCAAGGATGTGCGAAGATTTTGCTTCAACGTGTAAGCCCACACCATTCATTCGAAAATCTGGGTCCGTTGAGGGGGATGGGACATTTACAGAGAGATCCCCGGGTTGAAAGCGGAGGTGTTTCAGCTTATAGTGTAGTGCGACGGGGACATGTACCGCAGATAGGTCCCCGACAATATCTATCTATCTTCGCTGAGCTGCTGCTGCTGCTTCTCTGCGTGCGTGCGCGTGAATGCCGTCTGGGCTTAGAGATCCCCGAAAGGTGGTGGGCATCGCCCCGCGACCACCAGCCTTGTCTTCGGAAGCTACCCATGTATACCCCGATCACTCACTGTATAGTCTATATTCAGCCTGTGTGACAACAGCAGCAAGCAGCAGTAATCTGCGGGTGCAGGGTTGGTTGCATACACCATCTTTGATCGGGCCTACATGGGCTTCAGTGCATGTATATACCAGCTCTTGGTCGCGGGTATCATCGAAACACTGCGAGATGTACATACACAGGTGGAGGTCGACCCCCCTTCCCCACATTGTCGGATGCCCTCGCCCCCTTGATATTTTTTAGGCCTTGGTTGTCTTCTCCAAGGTGTTCGACCTTGTCAAGGTCTCCACAAGCGGGCGAAAGCATCCGATATTTTTGGGAAGGGGGGTCGACCTCGCCTGTGTAGTGTAGAAGCAATACAGCACGAATGTCCCAATGTCATCACAAACGCTCTCACCGAATGGCTCGCCTTCTTGTCGGTGATTCATATGGAAACTTTTCAAAATCCCACCGGCGGGGGGGGTGGCAACATACGTACCTTTTCGCTCGTCAACACCCTTCCTTGCTGGACCATTCATTTGACAATTTCGGGCTTTGCCTGTACGACAGTCTATCTGGACTTGATCTCTCACTCTCCCATGGGCTGACGACATCGTCATTATCAATGTTGCGATGTTTCATCTGTCTCGACTTTTGTTCCTCCTGGGGTGCTTGTGATGTGTGCTTAGGTCGAACCTCGGCCCGCTGACTAGAGCCAGACAAGATCGAGGCCATAGAAGGCGCCGTGCCAGTCAACCAACATCCCACGCCATGACGACGGGAGAGGGCAATAATAGCTACTGGCCTGTTTCTGTACGGGCAAAATAACGGTGTGAAAAAGAGCGAGTACGAACTTGTAGCAAGAGGTAAGTGTTCCTTTTCTTTAATGATACCCTACTCCCACAGGACATTGTCATGTACGTTCTGCACCCAAGTGGCCCGCGGGCTCACGTGCGGCAAAGCACACCGTTACACCATTCATCATTCCGGAGGACGAGCAACAACAGGTTTGCATTGCCATATCCCTCCCACTTGAACGGATGTCTGGCGTGATGATATGACGGAGGACAAAGAACCTGATTCATTCGAGATTGTTTGATGTTGGGACTGAGTATATAAGGGCGGTTGTGGTTGTGTAAAATCCATGTGGGGGGCATTGTTGGTTTCACTCCAGCCATGCGTGATGAGGGAGGGAGGGCAAGGGAGGGAAGTAGAAACTACAAGTATTTTTTTCCCACTCCGAGAAGCGTACACAGAAGGGGGCGACAGGGCCATCGACCCCAAGAGGAAGGCCATCGCCTAAAGTACGTTCTGTTCGTTAGATCTAAACGATGGGATACAGACACGGGTGGATGGGGACGAGAAAACCGGACTATACCCTACTATAACACTACTACCAATGATACCGTCGAGGGAGGGAAAGCTCGCGTGGCCTTGTTTCCCGGTTTCATGTAACGAAAGGACAAACTGGGCGAGGAGAGAAGGGCGGTAATCTTGCGGTTGTGGCTCCTTCTTCTCGGATTCAGTGTGTGGAAGGGAAGGAAAAAATGGTCAAGTACAATCGACGGTGCCGAACATTCTTCTTGCTCTCTAGCTCCGGCGTCGAGAAGGAAAACGAGAAACCGAGTAGTCCCCGAGTCCCCATCTTGGTTCTCCAAAATCGTCTGTCTGCCCCCCCCCCCCCCCCCTCCATCGACTAAATGAATTCCTGCCTGGGGGGAAAGGGAGGGAATACCGGAGTAAAAAACCGA